GAACCTAGACACGGTGATATCAGCAAAATCCTGGTCACGACCACCGACAGAACACTACCTCAACAGCGCTACACCTTGGCCCTGCCCCCCTGCCCCCCAGAGCATCAACACTGCCAGGTCCTCACGGGTAAAACTATTCTTAGGCTTTCAGACCGTTCGCGTTGATTCTTGTTGCACAAGCCGCGCCTGGGAAAGCATCCACTGTGTTTTCCGCCAGCCTCACTGGCTCCTCGGACACGTACATTGTGACACCTTACTAAGTACACTAGGTGTCGGCTGCTCTCGCGATCATCACCCGTCGACTTCAACCGATGAGAGACGTCCGGGAATGTTTTTCAGCGTGAGCCTCCGCTAAATCCACCATGGCAGCACAGACGCGGACCACTCCGCAATGGCCTTCCATGGAAGATAGGCCCCTTCTACGACACGAAATCCTACAAGACCTCCGCTCCAAGCAAGAATATCATCATCGGGAGAGCTTGTACGTCCATTCTGCGATGCATCCGTTCCAACCTCACATGAAGTCTCCCCAAGACCTGCCGGAATTCAGCCTTCAGACTGCAATCGAGTTTTGCAACAAAACCGCACCAATCTACATACTACGCCACGACTCTCCTCAGTACGTGAGTTATTTGTTGGTTGCGATACACAATTACATCTACCGGCACTGGTTTCGTCCTTATCGAAGCGAGATCGAGTACGGGCAATTTCTTGCCAAGCTCTTTGCGCCGCAGAGCTTGCCTCCGGTGGACACGACAAGCTTGGGAGCGTTGGCCGATTTGGCTCAAGATCTAACTTCAGCCATCTGCACGAAAGTTGAACAAGTACAACACTTGGCCCAGCAGCTCATCGGGCACGACCTCGATGAGCAGGAGGAGAAACTGGGAACGGGCCCTATTGGCAGGGAAATTGACCAGTTCATCCTTGACCAGGAATTCTTCGTCCTGCAACCGCTTTTCCGTGCCATAGCCATTGTCGTCTGTAATTCGAGCCTCGACATAGAGTCTCCCTCCATTCCACAGCTTTCGGTCGTCATTGTTCGAACCGGAATCGAAGACGGTCTCAGCGCGCCCATTACTTTCGATTCTATCGCCGATAAGATCACCAAGTCGCTTGACAGCGCGTCGGGGGAGGCGAGAGCGGTGCAGACGACGCTGGAGACTGCGGCTACCTTTTTGATGGAACTAGAGCAACGAGAAATTGCTGTATTCGGCATGCGGCCAGATCCCGTCACTTCTACCAAGGGCCTTGAGAGCGGATATCTCTTGGGCCGCGATGAACTTCTTAGACGAGCGAGACGGCTTGGGTGGGCGGATGACATGGGTTTACTAGAGGGGCCGAGCTCGAATTGGGTTGATGAGACACTATATCCGGTCTGGTCAGGAATAGCCGCCGTTTATGACTCTGGTTGGATGGATTTTCTGGAGAAAAAATATCTCAGACACGCTCGCGAGTATGATAGATCAAACAACAAGGAGCTATAAAGGAATCACTTGAAAAAGCGGCTCTGAGCCTTTCACTAAATCCGGGACAGGATAAGACATGTATAGACCGTATCATAACCACTGTCGCTAGCAGAATTCGTCATGATGTGCAACTCGGCCAACAGCTGAACATAACTGTTTCTGGTCCAGCTGTAGTAGCGCAGATACCTTTCGCTTATTTTTTTCACCCAAGTTCCCCTCCATATCCTGATGCCTTCAATGGAGCTTTGCTGGGTTATCTTCAATATCTTCAACCTCTTGCAATATCGGGCGACTTCCTTTGCTGAGTTGGTCGCGTATCGGTTCATGGTAGGGCTATTCGAGGTGCATTGACACTGTCTTTAGATCTTCGCGGCGAAGATAAGCTAATATTACAACTTTTCCTAGAATGCAGTTTATCCTCGGTTTATGGTATTGTGGCGATGAAATTGCATGTTGTGGGGCTTTTTTTCACGTTGGACAGACTGTAGAAGTTATGTTCATGGGACTGTTAACAGGCTCCATTGCCACAAATTCGGTAAGCGTCATGGGATCTCGGGTTGGCGATGAATGTTTATATTCACATCTGTCATTACCTTCCCGATCGCATTTCTTGGTTACATACTTTATCCCGGTACCCCTCGCAAACCGAATAAGATTCTTCTCACCAACAAAGACATCGAGATTGCTCGCAATCGGCTACAACGACACGGTCACGCGGATAACGACAGCGTACTCGGCAACACTAGTCTGAACTGGGCTACGGTGAAACAAACCCTACGTGGGTGGAAAATATACTTGCTCACCATATGGGACATTTTATTCTGGGCTAGTGGGCTGCATGTGTCGAGTGGCACATATCTTTTATGGATCAAGAGTCTCAAACGTTACGGGGTCGCAGAAGTCAACAACTTAGGCTCTACGGCTCCGGCGATCGGCATCCTATACCTGTTCCTATTTTTCTTTCGCATCAGATATATTTTTGGGCCGAGCCTGGGCCCTTTCGCTGTTCTATAGCTGGAACATGATAGGCCTTGTTATTCTGGTCGTTCGGAATGTTCCCGAGTCAGCCAAGTGGTTCGCATAGAACATAATTTACGGCGCTACGGTAAAATCACCTGTTTTCCACGGATGGGCGAGCGATATCCTGAAGCACAACACGGCCGAGAGAGCTTTCATTCTCGTCACAATGAATTGCATCTTACAGGGAATGACGGCATGGATAGCTCTAGTGACATTCCCTACCGTCGAGGCTCCTAGGTTCACGAAAGGTTTCAGCTTCACTCTAGCGGTCTCAGTAGTTTTCCTGGGTGTAACTCAGGTGATTAGACACTTACATAAACGCCAGGAGTAAGAGTGCACCTTGTTCACTCTTTGCGAACGAGTTTGCTAACATATGGTATAGGAAATTGCTGGAAGCTGCGAGAAATACACCGTCTGCACAGCGAGACTCTCGCGAACGCGTGGACTCTGAATTATACATGAAGACTGGTCCAACAGGCATCTATACTACGTCACTTGGTGAAATGGATCTCAGGGTTTCTCATTAGCTCTGCCCATGCCAGTCTAAAGAGTCCGCGCACTTTTCTTATCATTTTCGCTAAAGAATTGCCAAGATATAGACACAAATTCTGGACATCAAAGAAGCAAGCGTAAAGTCACCGTGGAGGAAGCTAGCTTAAAACTTATCGATAGAAATCTGCTTGCTGATTTTTTTTTTCCACAGCGGCTCCCAAAATGATATGTGCAAGATTTTGGTATTATCAATATCTGCCTTCCTGCTAATTTTGATTGGCGATCGAGCAGAAGTATATGCTGTCAATAGGCTTGTAGCCAGAACTCAGCAGAACGCACCTAGCCAGAGGCTAACAAAGGCATGCTTCTCTTGGTTTTCCTGCTGCTGTCTGTGTGGTCTTGGCTCTAGACAAGCTTTCTGGAGGCGTTTTCTAGGGTCGCCTGATCCGTGCCGCCAGCCTTCCCGTCCTTTGTAGGAAATCTCCGTGTGCTGCTAGAAATCGGTATCCATAAGGGAATGGTCTATGTGCTGTAAGAAGAGTGGGCCGATTTTCGACAGGGCAAAGACAGGGGTAGTTGTCGTCCACCGCGCTTCTGAAAAAAGATTGTTCCCTTGGCCTGCCGGAGACAAGCTATTCTCCCCATACACGTGTGTACAGCGCTAGCTGAGCAAATCATGCAAGGAGGAGATAAGAGAGTGGCGCAATTACCACCCTTGTCACGGGAATTGGAACGCGCAAGCCTAACCACAGCCCTTAAAAGGCAATTCGCCATGAGTTAAAGCATGTGTGACTTGAGCAGACCTACAAGTAGAAGAGCTCATTGTGGCCTTCTGCTAGGACTAGAAAGCCGCAATTTGGCTTAGTGCCCAAGGATAGTTGGCAGTCTACCCGTGATAATCCAGACGCATGAAAGAGAGAGATAGAAGAGTTAATGATTGTTGACTGTGGCCGTCTCAAATCTAACAACTCCATTGGTACTATAAAACCTGTCGAGTGAGCCCGAGGCAAATAAGATCTACTAGTGTGCTGCGGACTCCATTCTATCTTCAGTAATAGCCAAAGGAAGGGACAAATGTGGGCTTAGACATTGACAAAGAAAAAATGTAACAGGAGGTCAAGTGCTGTGCCGCTGGTCCAAGTTGTTTTTGGAACCATTATTTCGCTCATTGACGTTTTAGTTCCTTCATTGAAGAAACCCCTGCCTGAATTCGTAGCATTGAGCACCACGTGTTGCACGAAAGATTTCAGATTAACTGAATAACCAATCGACTGAAAACGTGTCAATGACCGGTATGGATTGATAAATTGACATGAGGAGTAAATGGACTCCATAGCATGGTGCATTTTCAATAAGCGGCACAACGTTATTATCACTAAACAAGAATCCATGCAGTATTTCAATAGCAGACTTGTTCTAGGCCGCTCTGAGAATGGCCTTTGCTATGCTGAGAAAGCGCTCTCTTGCCTCCCTATATGTATCAAAAGTCATTATGAGCTCTATTTTGACCCTGTATAAAGCATACGCTTGCTACTATGTATCACTTGATCATCATGCCTTATATGAACCCTCTGTACCCTATTCCTTTGCTCGGTCACGTCGCTAAGGGAGCCAGACCGCTGTCGGACGTGGATGATACATTAGGCCAGCTTAGGCTCTTGAAAAAATCCTTCTGTTGCGTGATCATCTTCGCCATGAGATCTGTTCACTCGTCTTTCTTCCTTTGCGGGACACTGCTCGCCAGCAGCGGCCCACTGGTTTATGGCAGTCCAATTCAACATAATCTGCCTACACCTACGCCTACTGCCTCTATAACAGCTGCGCACAACATATCTCTGACAAAACGAGACCTTGTTGACTTGAGAATCTTACCCCTTGGTGCTTCTATTGTCTGGGGATTGACATCCCCTGACGGTAATGGGTATACGTAGCCGAAACATGACTTTGGTACAAGACTAAAGGCTGATGCGGTTTATAGTTTCCGTCTGCCGTTGAGGAACGAGTTACGATGGAAGGGCTACAATGTCAACATGGTTGGCACTAAATCTAACGGTAATATGGAAGACAATGTATAGTTTTTGTTCACGAAATAAATTGAACATTATATATTAACGAAAGTTCAGGATGTCGAAGCTACTCCGGGCTATGTCATTGATCAAATACATACTGCATCGGAAGCCTGCTACACTTATAAACCTAATGTGGTCCTCATAAATGCCGGCACCAATGATTGCGTGGGAAATATTGACATAGATAACGCCCATAAGCGTTTAGAGTCCCTGATTGACGATTTGTGGACCAATATTGGAGATACAACGGTTGTCATCGTATCAACAATCTTGATCAATGGCGTCGCATCAGTCAATACCAACAGTGCTATTGTCAACACTAATTATAGATCCCTCGTCTCATCTCTGCAAGCCGAAGGCAAGCCAATTTACTTGACAGAGTTTGACAACTGGATAACGATGGACAATATTGGCAGCGACGGCACTCATCCAACAGAGGAAGGATACAAACGGATGGCTGGCGGCTTTTATGCGTCTATTGCCCAAGCCGATGCAGACGGCGCGATCAAGGCACCTCAAGACGCAGATCTCAGTACAGCATCGAGTGACTGTAAAAAGACTGCCGGTACGGGTGTGAGTGCAGGTGCCGAGACGCAAACGGGCAGTGGCTATAGTGATGGCATATATTACCACGACAGTACGGACATGGGTACTCTCCTAACCATCACCAGCGACTGGGACAGAAATCAGTGGAGCTTCGCTCGTCTCTTTAGACAAGACCGCGACGATTTACTGGGTTGGATCAGCGAGTCAGACGGGTCTATCACTTATGCTGTCTGGAGAAATGACGGCGATGGAGTCATGACCAAGATTGACGACATGACAAACTTCCCAAACCAGTGTATTCCTCGCGGCTTACGTTTTATCGATCTTAATGGAGATGGTCTGGATGATTTCGTCTGTATTAGCAACCCTGACGGCGCGCTTTATGGTGTCATCAATAACGGCGACGGAGGCGGCAGCAGTGGCCCGACTTGGACATCTATTGGCTTAATCAAGGCTGCTGATTCAAATTTCCCTCAGGCGCAGGTGCGGCTAGGTGATATCGATGGTGACGGTCGTGCTGACTTTATTGGCCTCGATGCCGACGGCACCGCACATGTGTGGAGAAACGCTGGTACTGGTGACAAACCTGACAGCTGGCAATCTCTGGGTACAAGGTGGACAGGCGGTAACCGCGGCGACCTCGCCGGTGTTCACTTCAAAGATATCAACGGTGATGGGCGTGACGACTGGATGTGGACGTCTGATACCGGAACCACCTACACTTACACCAACTCGCGCAGTTGTTTGAAAGGCGTTGAGGGCAATGGTCTTAATGTTGCTTGGCGCCAAGGATTCTACACCGGCCAGTCGAGTGGTGCAACTCATTTGGCATCTTTTGATGGCGATGTAACTCGCGATCGTATTCACTTTGCCCGTATCTATGGAGAACCCGCAGCCTTTTCACTCCTAGGCCGCCAGGACTACGTCTATATGGAGCACGAAGAAGATGGCGATAAACACATCTTCAAAATAAGAGTGTGGAAGAACCAAGGCAGCGGGTCGGCAAAACTCAAAGCTGACGGTGACAAATACGGTAACATGATGGGAACTGGACGTATGGACTACGTCTGGTCTTATTCGTTTGGAAAGATGATCATCTTTAGGAACGGTGGTGTCGACTACATTTCCACGGGCACAAGCTACTGGACCCAGCCACAACAGGACCTTTTCGACCCGCAAGCACTTATTGGTAAGGATCTTGATCGTCGAGATCTACACCTGACAGATTTTGACGGCGACGGCAAAGACGATATCGTTTGGGTCGATCCTGATAATAATAACCATGTGTCTGTCTTCATTAACAAATATGATGGGACTACCTGGAGTTGGGAATACCAGTCTGATCCTGCGCCGTCATTATCATGCTCCCAGACTAAGGGTCTCGGAATCCACGACATACCAATTCGCTGGGGTGATATCAGCGGTAATGGAAGGGACGACTATGTTTGCATTGAACCCAATGGCCGTATGTCGGGCTATGTTCACGAGATTGACGGATCCTGGACTTATAACGAGCAGTTTTTCGGTCCAAAGGGCTACGACCGAGCTAACTTCCGCTTCGGTGATGTTAATGGTGACGGCAAGGACGACGTCATTTGGACCGAGAAGTTCTCCGGAGACGGCTATGTCTACTACAATGATGGTCCCATGCAAATCGCTGGATCAAGCTACCACTGGGATGTGGATAGTAACAATATGCCAGTACTTGCCTACGCTGGAAATACGTGAGTCTTCATTCTTTTCTGCTCCACGTGGGCATTGGATTTGAAAGAGTTACTAATCTGAAGGTCTCATAGCGCTGGAACTTGCACCTATTACCCAGACTTCAACGGCGATGGTCGTGTTGACCAACACGTAATTCTTCAGTCGTTCAATAACATCGCTTGGACCTCGTACAATTTGTGTACTGGTGACCACACTGGAGACGACGAAAACCCTTATACCGACCCCGGTCTGGCCATTCCCTCCACTAGCAGCGGCAGCGGAAGTGGAGATGGCGATGGCGATGGCGATGGCACTGGCACCGGCGTTGTAACCCACGAGGAAGGCAGCAGCTGGTGCCAGGCCCACGCAGACGATGCTGCGAGCGGCGGGGATGCATACGACACTATTGTTTGGAACTTTGAGTTGGTAGCTTGCAGCATGACTGCCACACAGACTGTCACAAGTCTTCCATTCCAAACCGTTGACTGTTTGAATCCGGTGATCACAGATGCGGATCAAGACCAGTCTGAACGCTGGGATGCAGTTGACACAGATACTGCCATTGAGATTGTCCTTCTGGACTATTTCTACGAGCAGGACATTACCAGTCTCACTTTCCCAGAGTACGTGAGTAACTTCTTCAACGGGCCCGAAGGTATGAATTGTGGAAAGACGGCTTCAGATACGGGCTGCGAGACCATGTCTGAGTGCTCTGATGTCAATCATCCTGCCGGGTACTTCATCCTGAACTCGTTTGTCTCAATACACGGGGTACGTGTTCTGCCTTCTTTTATTCTGGAATTGGGCTGACTATATTCGAAAGTTCCTTTACGATATGTACAGTGCTTGTTATAACGCTGAGTCTAATATGGAGTCGAGCATTGGCGTGTTCTCGGATACTTTTGCTGAGATAGAAGATGTGGATGCCGAGGTTGACGAGATCTTGACCGTGATCGGACTATTTTATGCACTGGCCGTGGCACCGATGTGGAACAAATGCAAGTATTTCAGATGATTTGGAAAATAGGTTCGAGATACTAACGTTGTTTTTGCAGACTGGAAGGAAGCGGTGGGCAAGAAAAACGAGAATTGGCTAGCAGTTGGCAAGGACTCGTCGAATGCGATTGTGAACAACGGTATCACTTTACTGAAGTCGTCTTCAATCTGGTAAGATTTTCCCTACCAGAGATGCGCGCCAAGCGAGAAATACCTTTAACCCAACACGTTCTCATAGGGCTGTCTCGGATAACAACCAGGCCCTACTTTCTTATTACATGGGACAGATGGTAAAGACCGCGGCGACAGCTATCTCAGACACCAATACGGATCTCTTTAACGGCAGCGCTACCAGCGTCGCCGACCTGTACCGCGTCATAGATGAAGGCAAACTGATGGAGACCACGATCACTGCAGGAGATCTTGACGCGCAGGCTTCCTTAGAGAACTCTCTCTACTCGGTTCTCATCCCTTACGCCTGGTCATTGAGCAACAAAAACTCGCACCCTGTCGTCATTGATACAGGTTACGACTGTTCCGATGTATGGCCTAGCTATTTCCACGACTACATCTCAGAGGATACGGCTAAATCCCTATCTGTATGCTACAACGACGCGTTGTATTATTTACTTGACGCTCGTGCCTGTAACACCGACTGCAGCGGGGTGGATCCTCAAGGTTCTGTTGCTTGCGCTCCAACCAAATTCTTTGAACCTCTTGGTAGTTCCGACTTGGATGGTAGCAAGTGGGGCGGACTTACAATTGCTAACCTGACCATCTCGTAAGTCGAATCTTTTTGATCTTGTTGTGCTAGGCAAATTTCTTTTTTGCTTTACTTGTGTCGTACACGATGACTCAGACACAATCTGACCGGCGTACCGCAGAGCTATCAATGCCTACACCAGCAATGGCAATGCGAATGGTTGGAGTTATGCCGATCCTGCAAATCCCTCTGATATGGACAAACTTTGGGACGATGGCATCAATGCCGCCGGTGTCAATCTGATTCCTGTGTGCAGTTTAGCCACTGCTTTCAATAATTGGGTTACGTGTGATATCTCGGCTGATAACTACCCCTGCAACTGAGATCTAACGAGAACAATGAGCGCTCTCCCATCGCAAGTCGTATATCTTCTACACACTATGTATATTGGAGTTATAGCAGCAGTATCCTTGTTACAGTTTGTGTCAGTCACTCTACTGCAAAACATTAAAGCAAAGAGTAGTTTAAATGCCCTTTATAGCTATATATAGAATTAGAAGATATTTGCTAGATAATATTAAGATTTTAATCTTTACTTATAATAGCTTCTTTATTTCTATTTTATATATAGATATTATCTTTATTTTGTACTGCGCAGCATCGGCGCTAGTCACTATCGTCACGAACGTCTGATGATAAATTGTCTCACCACGTATCTAGAACGCTTCCGTGTCCTTCAGCCCATGCATCTGGTAGACGAAGTCTTTGTCTGGGAGGATGCGTTTCACGGCCCTGACGGAATCAGCTAGAGCGGGAGTCCGAGCGACTATGTCGGGAGTTATATAAGTATTCTGATCCAATCTTCTATTTAAAAGAGTCTCGATGGCTTGGCTATATATCTTGCCACACAGGTACTGGGATGGAAGGCCGATGAAGTTACTCTGTGTTGGTGGCTAAGCTGCAGAATGTGGTAAAGTGGACGGCGAAGAACTCCTACATCAATGCGTAAGTTCAGATCATATAGCATCTGCATCGGAAGCCCACTAATCTACCACAGGAAGGTCACATATGGACGCAAACCGCTCTGATGGAATGGAAGGCAGAATGAAGTCATCAGGGGAGCTCTCAATAGATTGCCAGATAGACTTGCGACATGGAATTTCGTATTGTGTTCGAACTTGACGGCTATGTTCCGTCTCTCCTGCGGTTCTGGTGGTTGGTATACACCCTTTCCCTATTATGGCCAAGGAAAATAGGCCACCGTCGCCTACTAGACTCGTTAGAGAGGAAAGGATTGGGCGTAGAGTATCCTATCTAAATGTTAGACTTGGGTCCCTGGCGGTGCCAGTCGATCAGGCTATACAAGCTAAACCCATAGGTCCTCATGGTAGGACCTAGCGGAGAACACGGTCTACCATCAAGCCATCTACTTTTGGCGCTTGGGTATATCGTCATAAAGATTGTTCTAACACATGATGTCCTGAAGTGTCTCTTCAGTTAAGTTGGTATTGGCAAAATGCTCCCTCTGAGGTGTTCTGATCCTACGATGGACTTCACCAGCCGTCTTCCAACCAAAGAAGCCTGCCATTTCCCAGTCAACAAGCCCTACGATCTTGTTATTGTCGACTATGCAGTTGGACTTGGTGAAGTTATTGTGCATGAAACTTATGTCCGGGTCGACGTTGGTGTCTGAGAAGAGGATACCTGCTTCTAGGGGACGAACACGGCTGTTGGTGAGGATGTTGGGATCTTGGACGATGTGACAGCGAGCCCGGCGCCTGTCGGAGGGCTTGACAGTGTATAGCTGTCGAAGTATCTCTTGTGCTTGTTTTTGGAAGGACTGCTTTTGGCCTTGCGATAGGTATGGCTATGTAACGTTTAAAGCAACGCCAGGCAGCCTTTCCTGGATCAATATCTGGCAATCATTGATCTGCATTGATGTCAGGGATAGAGGCATAAGGATGTAGTCTGAGAAGATAAGTACCTTATCGGCGAAGTAAATTTCTGGGACTTTAAAGTCTTTTAGAACGCTTTTAGCAAGAGCAACGGCCTTGACTTCATTTGCATCAGCATACGAGTAGTTAATTTTATAGTGCCGACCATTCTTTGTCTTGTGTAGATGACTGGATTTGACTATTACGCTACCAAGGGTAAATACGTCGCGACCGCCCTCCTCAGCTGGGTAGATTCTGACCAACTCGTTGTAGAGGTCAACAACCGACGCCCAGTACTGTAACGATTCAATTGACTGGGAGTTGATGTGTTGTGGGTCGACCTGAAAGTCGTCTGCTTTGGGGAAGTATCGGCCGTAAAACGGCACTTCTGCATAGATGTCAGAAGCGGGTATGTTTTCCGGATCTGAGACGTATAGATTCATGATGAATTTGACGTAGAGATTGAGCGAAGTGGCCGAAACACATGGAGTTTGTTTTGAGGGCCTTAACAAGCGGTATCATGGTGACGTCTGATTCCGTCTTAAGTCGATGGGCGAACATGCTCGGCGGCTAGAACGGGAGGTTGTTCACTGCATCCATCTCTGGCTAGAGCATCTAGCGGGGCATCATGGCGCCCCGGTAGGTGCCGCGTCAACTAATCGTCTAGCTCCCGCATTAGGGCGCCAGCCAATGTGAAGGTGTGCGGGCGCCTTCATTGGTGAGGTGCCTCACTTGATCGAGCCCTCAGCTTGAGATGCATCGTTTCAGAATTCAAAGCTGTCAGCCGTTAGTCTACTGTCTACTTGGAACCCTCTCAGGACATGCTGGCTGTTGGTCACAGCCTTGTGTTGTCCTAGGCTCTTCGTTGGTCGACCGACAACGTTGTCTAAGAAAATCCGATTCTTGGCCTTCAGCCACAAACTCCGGAACGACCAGCGAGAGTAGATGGCTAATATATAAATCTAGAGATGAAAGGATGTACGATCTTATGATATTAGTGTCTTGAGAAGTTAACAGTGATCGATCTATTTCCTATAGTGTTATAATATATGCTATTTTCTATCATGACCATTCATTATCTCTTGTTACAAGCTGCTTTTCAAAGACCACTGCTTGGGCTGTTACCAAGCTTCCTCTATATTGTTAAGAAGGTATGTGGGAGGTATTTCCCAACCTTAAAATAGGAGAAATTTTGATGATAAGTAGAAAATCGGGGTTTTTGCTCCTAGCATCAATGAGTTGCTACTTTATCGAAACAGGCAAGCGCGATGTCCTGGACTTGATCCATACCATGTTAATGGCCAGTGGTTAGGCGCGACAATAATGCTCACCGAGACCCAAATAAAAGGAGAGAAGGACGTAAGCCCAAGCGAAAGAGGTCCAAGAGGTCTAAGGAGGGGAAGTCTCAAACCGTTAATAGACTCGTGTGAATTCCGTCAAGCGTCAAGGCCTTGATGAGCGGAGCGGTGCCTGTAAATTGGGCGATTTTGTGACGGGCTAGTTACTTCGGCTCTGTGAAGGAAGCGAGCGGTGGTAACGCATCCAGTTGGAACATGGTTTTGGGGGGTGCAGGCTCATCCGTTCAAACCAGTGTGCAATGCGGAAGGTGGAATTTCCTTTTCAAGCGAAACATTCTAGTCGTAGATTATGTTGTAGTGTTGACCTCCCTAGAAGGTTTATTATCTCCTAGTCCTGTCTTCTCTCGGTGCTATGTCGACCAGCTCTCCAGTCCAACAATAAATAGCCAGGCTAGATATCTCATCTACCACCAACCGTCACTAACAGCTCCAACACGGCGGCCGAAATCATGGAAACGCCAACATACATACAATATCTGAAAAGCTTGGTATTTTCGCCTTCGGCACTAAGACAGTCTGGCTATATTCTAGAGCAAATCCCACCAACAGAACTAGAGAAAAAGAAGACGTGTCAAAGATGCCATGAGATATCACAGCCTTAGGGTTACCGAGAAGCTATTTACAAGAGGCGAAAGTGAGCAGGCTGATATGATTGAGCTCTGAACGCTCATTCTTCATGACTGAGGTTGGAGATTGGAGGCCTTAGGTTAAATACCATTAATGTCAGTCCAGCCAAGGTAGCTTGTAGACCACTAACACGGTGGTGCCCACTTGCCGGTGGCGTTCGCAACCTTGGAATGTAAAGCTCTTATCGCGATAAGAACTTTTTTCTGCCGCTTTGATCTGGTTCTAGCAACAGAATGTCAATTTTGACTTTCTCGCCAACAACGACGACTAACAACACAATTTCTTCCATTTTCTTCCTCATTCTGTCACTCGGCCTCTATGCTACGGATTATCACCACCGCATCACGTCAATAGGATGTCCTCCTCCGCCGATCCCCTCCTGACCACCCTCTGCACAATCTGCCACGTCGAGCCGCCCAAATACACATGCCCGCGCTGCGCGGCGCAGACCTGCTCGCTCGCATGCAGCCGCAAGCACAAGGGCTGGGCGTCGTGCTCGGGCGTCCGCGACCCGGCCGCCTACGTTCCCGCACAGGCGCTGCGCACACCCGCCGGCATCGACCGCGACTACAACTTCCTGAGTGGAATCGAGCGCGAGCGAGAGAGGCAGCACCGCCTCCTGGTGGAGGACAAGGGCCTGCTGAGGCCGGCAGACCTGAAGGCTGGTGGGGATGAGAAGCTGGTGAGGAAGCTGTGGTTCGGAGAGGGAGGCGCGAGGATGCCACAGCAGAGAAACAAGCGACCGTGGGAGAGACATGACGATGATGGTGAAAAGGAAAGCTTCCTCGATCGCAAGGTACGACGAAGATTGGAACACATGGACGTGCGCGTCGTGGAGATGCCTCGGGGACTCAGTCGCCAGCGGGAGAACACAACATGCTGGAATCGACGGACGAATAAGATCAATTGGGCTGTCGAGTGGCTTTTCTACGATGCCGATGGCAACCAGCAGAGGATTCGACATCGCGCACTCGAGACGGTGCCGCTGTGTAGAGCAGCCGTAGACTCGATGGCTTGGTACCAGAAAGGGCAAGAAAGAGCAGCGGAAGAAGAGGAGGATGATGAGGATATGTTACATGCGCGCAAACGGCGGCGGGTGCTCATTAGGGAAATCAAGGAGGAGCGGCGGTCTGCACCCCTTGGAGCTATGCAAGATTGGGATGGCGAGCAAGGTACATGGCTATCGACGCACTATCCTACACAGAACCCTTTTACAGCGGCATGGGACCTCGATCGCGGCTCGATCGCGAGCAACTGGGTCAGAGATGAGGAAGCCGATGAAAAGCGCAGGTCGCACTTCTTTCTGCTCAAGCCTCTCACGCCAGCCGGGCAACCTAAGGAGCTAATACCGTTGGAGTCGGCGGAGACGCTCGCTCAGGCTCTTCCAGGAAGGACTGTCCTCGAGTTCCCCACCATCTACGTTCTGCCGCCTTCCGCTAGTCTACCGGAGGGACATGTTGTTGGCTCTACGGAGCGGCGAGAGAGACCCAGACGACCTGAGCGGCCGCAAGTGAACGGAGGAAGCCGCTCAGGACCACGCGAAAAGTACCAAGGTGCCGGGAGCAAGCAGGGGCAGCATGTGCGGAACGGCCGCGGTGGCATGCAGAAGAAGGTTGCATTTGCTGATGAGCCTACCAAGGTCGAACGGGGAGAAGTCAACAGCGAGGAGAAACCTCCTGAAGAAGAGGATATCACCAGCAGTGAGCCCGAGACTACAAGCGACGAGGACAGCAGCGGTGGCTCGGAAGGTGAAGCTAGTGGCCAAGAAGACGTGGTTCAAATGCCCAAGAGGATGGGATTGGTGGACTATGCATCCGACAGCGAGTCTACCTCGGAGGAGGGGGATGATCGAGCGGATTTGGACGTCTCAACCTTGAATCCAGAGAATCCGGAATTAGTCCGAGGCGCTATCGCGGAGATAGTCAATCTTTTCACATGATTGAGATCTTGCATTGCACTGTAAATAGTACTGCTTATGGATACCCCAAGCATTTAGATAAAATCATGCCACAAGAAGGATTCAAAAATTACTTGGTACAACTTGATTGTATTGTCCTTAATGTAAGAATAGCATGCCAGCATTGAGAACCTAACTGACCACCATTCAAAATTGATCAAGTTTCCCAAAGTATAGAATTTCTTGGAAGATTTTCCATGCGTTTTGCTGCTTTTTGGTTCGTGTGAAGGCAGAACCGTTCGAATCCAAGCCTCCTCCGAGTCCATGTCCACGCAATTTGGACTACTGCCTCCGTATATGAAAGAATTATCATAAAGGCCAGGACCATTCGCCGTGCTTTTTAGTTATCATGGCGCTCACTGATGGAGACACCTTTCATGCTCAACCAACGACGCCCTACCCCCTAAGTCGCCTGTATTGAGGCACCGTTCCTCGATAACATGAGAGCAAAATATCTCAAATGCTTGCCATCAGACAGGCAGAGAAACCGGTCACTCGTGTTTCCTCGGTAGAAACAAAGTGGCTTGTCGTAGTCCGTAATGATACAAGGAGTTTTTACAGATTCCAGAAAGGAGAGAAAGAAGATGGTATGTTCGTGAGGCAGAGAAATTCGAGAAAAGCCAAATCATAGCAGGACATGCCGTCGTCATCCACTCCATTTTGCCATGTCGAAATGTGAAATAAAGCAAATGGAGAAACCGAGGAGATCAAGTGAGCGAAGGCATCGATTTATCATGGATGCCGAGATTACTGCTGCGCAGTGGTTTGCGGGGCATCAGTTCTTGGGCCGCGATATCCACCTCGTCCGCGACCTTGACCATAGCCACGGCCACGCATACCGCCTCGTCCGCGACCACGACCCCGATAGCCCCGGAAGCCACCATCGACACTGCCTTGTCCAAAGGTCTCCATGTTCTTGCGCTGCTCTTCACCACGCCACTCTCGGCCGCCAGGCTTTTGGCCATTATTATCGGCGCGCTCCTTGGCCTCACTTGAAATATTGTCGAAGAAAGACCTAGTCTTGTTGTACGCTTGAGGTGGGTTGCCAGTGGGCGCCTCAGGAACATCACTAGCAGACTCGTTCGGGGTTTCAGGTGCAGGGGAACCGGCGATTGCCTCTTTCACCAAGTCATCCTTGTTGAACTTGGCGTTCGATGATGCAAAATCAAAGTCAGCATCGGGAACGTCAATCTTCGCCTGTCTTCCACCACGACCACGGCCACGGTTGCTCGGCGCACCTGAACGTGCCGCATTGACTCTCATCTCGTTGACCTTGTTTGTCAAATTGTCCATAGCATTTCCATTCTGCTGAGCACCAGCTGGCGCTGCACCACCTGGACCGTTCAAATTGGCCATAGCAACGGCAACAGCAGCCCTAGCAGCCTGAGTAGCATCGCGCAGAGCTGCTGCAGAAGCTGCCGGATTTCCTTCGGCCTGCTTGGTAATGCTAGTGAGAGCTTGTTGAGTGACCTTGGCGGTGAGTGCTGCAGGCAATGGCACGGCAGGTGTAATTCGTGTGCCTCTGGGACCAGTAGGAACTGATTTGCTTGACTGCGCACCTGGCTTGCCATTTGTCTCCAGTGATGCCGCCGTAGCCTTCACCTCCTCGACAGTCGGCTTTGATTGGACTGGTGGAGTTGGAGCGCTGGTGCTAGCCTGCTGGATCGGAGCGTGACCTAGAACCTTGGGTTCGGAGGGCATCTCAGCCGGGCCCTTCTGCTTGTCTGCACCGGGGCCAATCGGTGGTGGTCTTGCGTCTTGGTTGGCACCCTGTGAGCCAGCCGGAGCCGAAGGTCCGCCAGGTCCTTGTGTGTTTTTGTTCTGGCCAGGAGGGCCCGGTGGGCCACCAGGCGGCCCAGGAGGGTAAGGGTAGTTGTTCCATGGGCCGGGCCCGCCAGGCGGAAATCCTTGGCCAGGAGGAGGGAACCAATTTGGGGGTGGTGGAGGATAACCCATTCCGCCGAAGCCCCCGGGACCTGGCGGGGGACCACCTCGGCCCCATGGTGCACCCGGAGGCGGGTAGAACATCTGATTTTGGCCGAAACCTGGGGCACCAGGCGGAGCGCCCGGCGGCCCAGCAGGGGCAGGACCAGATCCAGGGTGGGGGCGAGCCTTGAGTTGACATGTTAGCTATCAGCCTCAGGATATCATATGATAGCAGATATGAGTCGAAGGTGAGGATCAGAAGGAAGGCAACGGAAATCTCAACATGATATTGTTTGCGCAATTCAGACAAAAGTATGTTTTACATCCGAAAATATTTCATCATCAAAGTTATGCCACACCATGGCATAAGGAAGAGCTCGAAATGAAGGTATCACTTACTCCAAGAATTGCAGGGTCATTAGGAACAGCAGGAGGCTTGTTCTCCTTGACTGAACCAGGACCCTCTTCGATCCGTAGATCCTTCACATCACTCCCGCGGAAGACGATGTATTCGTAGACTTGATCTGACGGCGCTACCTCCTCGGAGACGTCGCCCTTGCGACCTTCTGTGCCGAAGGACCTGACATTTTCGAGGGAGACGGTGGAATCGCTCGAATTGATCTCGTGGAGAATGCCAACGTATCTGAGAGGGGGATGAGTTTCGAGGCTGACGTGGTGGTTAGGAAAGAGTAACATACCGAATATCGCTCTTTGAAATGAGCGAAATGCGAGCTCTGAGGCATTGTTAGCACTAGCACCAGCAATCCCAAAGCTTCGGTCATAGTGTGTTCATAGTAGCATACCCTAAGAATTCTGACATCTTGGAGGCTCTGAGGCTGTGTTCAGCACACAGCAAGCTTTGACAGGGACGAGAGAAAGGAGTCAATCGGGTGTCGCAGAAGCAGTGTAATGCAGATGAGTTGTGAAAGGAGTCGTAGAATGTGTGCGGGAAAGAGAGGTAGGTAGCTGTGGGACGGGATGAGTGAGGTGTTTCGTGGGAGGAGGAAAGTTGTGGTGGAACAAAGTCAAGGGCGAAAGAAAGCGAGAGGCTGAATATCAAGGCTTTTTCCGCTTCAAGCTAAAGTGGTGGCCTTTTGCTGGTCTGTGCGCCACAGCCGCACTGCCACACCTTACGATACGAATGGCAAATGATTTGCACAGCTTAAAGTCCAGAAAGTTGCAAGTAAGTTCCGAGAATAATCATTCTGATTTTGTTCGGAGAAAGTTGTCTATGAAGGATTTCAGACGTCCATGAGTTCACTGGCATTTATTGTCTTTGCAACGGAGCCACATCCTGCAGGTGATACACAGCTACCCACGTGCGGTAGGAATTCATTTATCAGCACGTGTCTCTTATCAGTGCCCGCGATGACAGCATCGGCGTAAACCTTTTGGAACCAGCACCCCACCCCACCACATATAAAGCTTGCCAGGTTGTCACACACGGCGCAAATCGCCTGGCACATAATTATTTGCACTCCCGATTAGATACGGGACCTGCGACTCCAGTCACAATGTCCAGTAGGCAACTCAAGAAACTGCGCAAGCAGCAGGAACTCGCCAACCTCCAAAAAGCTGCAGCAAGCGACGACGAGGAAGCATCTGACCTCGAGCCGGAGCCTGTCAAGCCCCGTGCCAGCGGCTTCTCTGCATTTGCGGCCCTGGGAGATGGAAACGACGAGGATAACGATGACGACGAGCCCCAAGAGCCCGAAACAATCGCGAACGAGTCACCCAAACCTGCACCCGAAGCTGTGACGCCTGCGAAGAAGAGCAAGAAGTCCAAGAAGAAAAAGAAGGCGAAGAAAATCGAAGAAGAGGCTCGTGCCGTCACAGGTTCAAAAGCACAAGATGAGGGCTTGGACGAGATTGACCGTGCTCTGAAGGAGCTGAATATGTCGCCCGCGCCTGATGCAGCTAAGGAGGGGAACTCTCAGACAACACCATATTCGCACGAGCTTGCCAAGCTGCTGAGCATCAATACACACCATCTCAAAGTTTTGAACGAGATGAGAGCGCTTTTTGGCCGCGAAACTATCGAGGCAGCTCGCGCAGAAGACGAGGCTGAAGCACAGCAGAATCGACGGCAACGACAAGTCCCACAGAACGTCGACCTCGAAACATTCCTCAAGGGCCGACCAGGCCAAAAGATGTCAGAGGTCCTGATCCGGAGGAACCCTTTCATTCAGGGCAAGGACACATGGCCGCGTGCTTCAGCTGGGGGGCTGTCGATGGAGGCTCTCGTCTCTGAGAGTTCCAACTTTGTGGAGTACAAGTTTTCTCATGACAAGACCTATGACGAGCTCGAAGCTAAGTTCTTCGCCTACGTCCAGCTGCATGACCCCATGCAGATCGTCTACTTCTTGCACAGAAATCCGTACCATGTCTCCTCCCTAATCCAAGTCAGCCGAATCGCGAAACAAGATCAGAACTCGGCTTTGTCGGCAGATCTTTGTGAGCGGGCCTTATTTACTATTGGAAGAGTTACTCTTTCCACTTTCAGGAAGCGAATAGAGCAGGGCACAGCTCGAATGTCATTCGACCGTCCCGAGAACCGGCAATTTTGGCTTGCAGGCTACCACTACATTAAGAGCTTGCTTCAAAAGGGAACATATAGAACCGCTCTCGAGTGGACCAAGCTATTTATCAGTATCGCACCCGAGGATGAGTACGGCATGATGAACTGGACACATGCTCTTGCTATCAGAGCTCACCAGGCCCAGTGGTTTGTTGATCTCTGTGGTGCCGGATACTTCGAGACGTGGCGACTCCACATGCGGGAATACTACAAACAAACCTTAGTCCTCGCAAAGCTACAGCTGAAGGACGTTGGAGGCGCCAGGATCGCCCTCCTTAAGGGTATGGAAGAACTCCCATGGCTCTACTCCTCGCTTTATAGCGCCTTAAATCTCGATACGCCCAAAGCAGTTTGGGGAATCAGGCCGCGTGACGGCAACGAGGAGCTATATACTGAGTTGTACATTAACACCGCTAAGGATTTGTGGAACAACACACAAGCGGTCTCCCTATTGAAAGAAGCGGGCGAACTTGCGCAGAAGGTCGACGCCAAAGCCTTACCAAAAGCTCGGGACATACCTCTTAGCATTGGCAGATTCGTCTATCTAGACAACACGCCCGCTCTGATGAGTTTGGTGCCGAAGTCGATGCTGCATGCTACACCGAATTTTGACTTTGATCCACTGCCGCCACCGAAGCAGCTCAATGTGTTTTCAAGTGAAGCGCAAAAGCTTCCATGGGATGCGCCGACAGACTTCTGGCAAACCGCGAATGCCGGTATGGACCCGAGGATGCGGCAGATCATGGATCAGGCTATGGCGCAGGCAGCGGAAAGAGCTGTGGATGGCCACGATAATGTGTTCTTCAACAATGACTCTGACGGTGACGATGATTCCGCAACCGAAGAGGACGAGCCGCCGCCGCTTGAGGAGACCACGGAGGCAGAAGCGCGAGGATTGGGCCCCATACAGAGATTCCTGGAATACATCCTACCTATGCAGTACTTGAACAGAGGCGGTGACAATGGCGCTGCCGAGGAGCAGGCTGCATGGATGGAGGATGATGATGATCAGGATTATTTGGGGGAGCCGCCACCGCTGGAACGAGCAGATGCCAGGGAGCACGACGCCGAAGATAGTGAGGATGATCGGTCGCACAGGTAGCCAATTGCCGACAGAGATCGACTATCTGCATGCGCATGCACAGTGACGAGCAGGTGTTCGTCCGCGGGTTCGTTGGATGGGCATGTCCACGGAGACCGGCAGCTAAACAAGGGTGACTGCTGCAAGAGACACGTGGGCGATGGCCATCAGTGGATCAGGATACTGCCAGTAGATGCACCATGTCATGCGTGATGAATTATCTGCCCAGGTACTACCTACAGGTAAGTATGAAAGTCCCACGCGGAAGTCGAAGAGCCAAGCTTAGTTCAACGTAAAGAGAAAAACGTTTGTGGTCGTAGACAAAACGTCCTGCAAGTTTGAGTGACTTTCGCGTAGAGTAACATTAGCAAGTTACATGTACCTTAGCTAAAATGCCTCAGACAGGCGAATTGTACATCCAGGGCTCTTCCTTCGCTGGCCGGAGGGATCTGCCGTTTCGCAAACCGTACATGTACATAGTGCCTCGCTCTGATAGGGGATATGCTACAGCAGTTTCATCTGAGTTGTGAGCAAGTTTTACAACCAGGAGCAACAATAGCCACTTCTCCCTAGGTCAAGTTACCCCTTGGAATGGACGAAACAGTGTCTTACACTGCCGGTATCTGACAGGGCGCGCGCTCGGTGTCTTAGCTCCGTCGCCCCTCACTGCACCATCCAGGCTAGAAATGGTGCATCGTTTCGTCAGATTAAAACGGTATCACTAATACCCTGCCCATGCTCGGTGCTCTAGCGCCCGCCTCCGCGCTATTTGTGCGGCTCTGACAGCTCATTATTAATCCGGCAGTGCCTCCTGTTGCTGTCCTCTCGATTCCGATTCCAGGGGAACAAACTCCAGACAGACTCGACACTTGCATATAATCCGAACACCCCGTCCTCCATCTTGCTGGGGACATTCTTCTTGTCAACCATCTCACTCTTGAGCAACATTACTGTAACCGCTAGATTCCAAACCTACAGCTCCCACGACCCCCAGAGCTTTCTCTACCCCGCTGCAAACCCCGCCACATACACCAGACACACATCACAACAATCACAATGGCCGAGGTCGCCGACGGACACACCTACAAGTTCAACGTCAGCATGAGCTGCGGCGGCTGCTCCGGCGCCGTCGACCGCGTGCTCAAGAAGCTTGATGGTGAGCATGCATTCCTCTCCCAGCACCTGTTGGCCCCCCTCCCTAATGTGACACACTACTGATACTCGGAGGAATGTAGGCGTCAAGAGCTACGAGGTCAGCCTCGAGAACCAGTCCGCCGTCGTCGTCGCCAGCCCGGAACTCAGCTACGAGAAGGTCCTGCAGACCATCTCCAAGACCGGCAAGAAGGTCAACAGCGGCGAGGCCGACGGCGTCGAGAAGAGCGTCGAGCTGGAAGCATAGAGGACGAGGTGGTGAAAGGGATGTGGCCGCGGGCCCATCCATCGGGTCGAGCCTAGCAGGGTGAAGGGCCCAATAGAAGGAATAAGGGAGGGGAGTATATCAGGCGCAAGTCCTACCTAGACTTTTCTTGAGGCTTCACTAGGGGGAGAGTTTCATTACGACATGCTTTACATTGGGAATACCTTAGGCGCATAGCAAATGCGGAAAAAAAGAGACACTGTATGCTTTCATGTCCTGCAGCGGCCTTTGAGGATGTCGATCACCGTGAAACTGATCTGTCTGTGGCTGATAGCGAGCTGGGAAAACAGACAAACGGTTATGTGACATTTGTTTGCTATTGAGCAAGTTCTTTGCACGGCTATTGGGAGATGACGACGGCACACTCATATATCTGTGCAACGACAAGTGTCTCCATGACCGTGTCTCTCGGCAAGATTGCCGACTGGGCATACTGGATGTGCCTGTTGTTGGATGCCGTCTATATCCATGCAATGCCCACGGCAAATTTCAGCTCTGGGCTTGTCTCAACACGTCGTGTCAGAGAGAATTGCAGAATTGCATCATCATTCTCATATAATAGCATATTATATCTATCCTGAACCATATGTCCCCGACCAGAAGGTTGTGCCGAGTGCCGTCCTATCCCGACAATGGGCATCCGGGAAAGAAAAGTCTTGGCAATATCCAAATGAACATGCCCCGAAATGACATGGTACGGGTTTCCCAAGGTGTCTTGTCCGTTGCATTTTCTTCTCATGGCCAGGATGTCGTTGCTTTTGAAGGTTTGTTGAGATATTTGGTCGTGATATCGACACGTCTCTGGTACCAGCAAAAGAGGAGGTGATCGCTTTCATTGCGACATCAACACTTCTGACAGTACCTGCCACATAGTGTCATCCTCTTGATATTGCCGTCGGCTCGGCGGGATGCATAGGTGTGGACAGCAGCAGTTTATCCGGTACTGATATCCCGCCTCACCTCCACGCACGCACTCCCACAAGTCTGTCTGGCCTGTCATAGCAGTCGAGTATATTGAAGTGCTTGCAGTGGACACGGGCTGTTGGAGGTCTGGAAGAGCGCTCGCCGTATGCGAGAAATACCAGGTTTGCGATCATTCTAGGTCACACGACGAAATAATATCGAAACATATCGTCATTGGACTGTTCACACGCTCCAACTCGCAACAGAGGTTGTTTCCTTCCGACCCTGCTGCATGGAACTCGAAAGAATACCTAGACTATCTGAGAATCCACTGCGTCCTACTATCGACAAGATCTTGAGCTGCATTAAAGCCACTTGCTTGTTAATTGAGGAAAGCTTGCTCGCACGCGCAGACACGAGCAGATTCCCGGAAGCACAAATGTGCCGACTACTTATCATGGCCTGTTTCCTTGAGACATGAATGAATGGATAGTCCTTCACTGTCTTATAGATAAGCCCACACGGCTGTGTCAGAGCAATATTCATTCAGAAACTATGTTGGTGCCACTGAGAATACGGACTGTGGCTATCATAGGGGGTGCCCTTTCGGCTGGAATAGTGAGCGCTCATGGTATCGCAACAGCACTCGTCGTCTTTCCAACGGGGACATTGTACGTAGCGAAGCTTGTCCGAGATCGTCATCATGCTGACTGACACGAGAATAGCTACCAAGGATATAATCCCAGTTACCAATATGCTCGACCGCCCCCAACGGTCGTGGGCTGGTCTACTCCCGACGATCTTCAGTAAGCTGACAAGTCTCTCCTTGATAAAGCGGTCAAAGGGGTGTAGGCTTTACGACGACAAGAGTAAGGCGACTTACACGCCAGCAGGAATACCTTCGTGAGCCCTTCAGCCTATGCCAGCCCAGATATCATCTGTCATCTGGGTGCCACACCTGCGGGCGCTGCCGCACCGGTAAATGCTGGAGATATACTTGAGATCCAATGGACGCCGTGGCCAGCATCGCATCTAGGACCCGTTATCGATTATCTGGCAAATTGCAATGGGCCATGTGTGAGTCACTACCTGACAGCCGAGATCTCTCGACTAACACCAAATCTAGACCAGTGCCGACAAGACGAAGCTCAAGTTCTTCAAGATCGATGAGGTTGGCCTGATTGACGCGGCCAAGAACAACTGGGGAGCCTTGGAGCTCACGAACAACAATAACAGCTGGCTGGTGCAGATTCCCAAGGACATTGCGCCGGGCAACTACGTTCTGCGGCACGAGATCATCGCGCTCCACGCAGCAGGCCAGCTCAATGGTGCGCAAAACTACCCGTTCTGCTTCAGCCTGGCCATCTCCAGCTCAGGGACTGCCCAGCCAGCAGGCGTCCTTGGCACAGAATTGTACAAAAATACGGACCCGGGAATCAAGTTTGACCTGTTCACCAAGTTCTCTACGTATCAGATACCTGGGGTGAGTGCTACGATTCTATCTTTTCAGAGGTTCCGAAAGAAGCAGGCGATAGAGGGTTGTTCGTATTTCAATCATGCCGTTGAACTAACAGCTTCCAACAGCCAACACTTTACTCGGGTGCGCTTTCAGTCCCACAAACCAAAGCAGGTGCTATCAAGGCAACAGCATCTGGCATCCCGAGTCTCGCCAAGAGAGCCCGCAGGACACCTGTAGCTGCCTTCGCTGAACCAACTCCTCTTTAAACTAGACAATGGGTGGGTGACCGCGAATATATGTAGATTAGGGAGACGGCCGGTCCCAAGAGGGAAGTGGACAGCGAACAGGCAGACGTGCACAGTCACTACATAGCTTATAGAATCAGTTAGGTTCGATCTATTATACGTATATCATAGCGAATCAAACTTCATGGCAGCCTAATCGCGCAGTGAAGACCTCTTAGAGTGTACAGCAAGTTCCTGTTGGTTCGTCCATGACGACCTAGATTAGCTGGAACCATTGTAGCTCTGATTCATTCCACTCCCCCAGTGTCTCCTCAGACAGTACAGCATGCCCGACCAGAAGAAACTGATGCCCCTTGGGGCGGAGGATTAATAATTGCTCGTACTGAGTTTTATCTTTCACGCGAATGAGTTGATCGCCCGCCCTGGCTTCTGGCCAACAAACCCCGATTTTCTCTCCAGCCATAAAGAGTCTTTTCCCATCACAGGCTGCTAGTATCTTCCCCAAATTCCGCTCATGCCTCGCGCGTGCATGATACATTCCCCAATGCATTGGCTGTTGCAGTTGGTCTCCGATGTTGGTGCCATCGTGCAGGTTGATGCCTCCAGATGTGGTGGTCTCGGCGATCAATCGCCGGTACCAGTTTTCGAAATTTTGAGCCTCAGTCCAAGGTCGATAACGCAAACGAGTGTCGAAATCAAATAGGTCGAGAAACTGAGAGAAGACGGAGATTTTCTGAGCTCGGGCCTTGCTCTCTTCATCCGTCCCATAGGCACGACACAAGAACTTACGGAAGATAATACCATAACGGGTCTCCGAAGCAGGTACGAGGCTCAGGGATCTTACAGTCTCGATAAATGGCACATCCGAAACTAAAGTCATCTGAGGCGGGAATAATTCGCTGAAACAATCATCAAATTCTAGTATCTTGAGCCCTCTGACTTTCATGATTGAGCTATCTGTGCTGAAGTCGACGCACTGCGGGCGATTGTGTGACGAATCGTTGTAATGATTTCGAGGGAATGAAGGCGGATGTTTCTGCAAGCTCCAATCCACAGCCCAAGAAGGCAGGTCTTGAATATCTGATTTCATTGTAGCATAGTTGAGAAAATCCACTCTTTGTGAATAAGAGGCATACCCTCTTGTCGCCTCTTGGAAGACTTGGCCAACAGGGGCGTTGTAGTCGACTTTGACCGGTTGTAGAATCTTTGGCAAGATAGGCTTCAGAGCGTATACGTGATCCCTTGGCTCAGAAGCGTGTAAATCCTCCAGTAAACTCATGGGCATCACCATGGCCTCATACAAGAAAGAATTACTGAAGAAGGCGCGCTGGCCATGCAGAGACAAAAATGCCAGCCTGTCGGTCGCGATGAAGTGAAAGAATGTTCGGGCAGAGAGACCGCGAGCACTATCGAAGTAGATTCTGCATTTATCATTAGCCCTGAACTCTTGCGTTGTCCAGACGCGGGACCAGTATGGCCGTTGGCATAGATCTTCCTTGATGTGGTCAAGAGAACTTCCTGTTTTCAAAGTCAGCTAAAGGCCTTCTGTAGAGCGCTCTTCATACCCGCATAGTATAACCTATGAGCTCGCTGGCTGATAGATACCCTGGCCCTCACGGGTACCAAACCTAAACACAACGGAACGGCCAGTATGACGGAAAGAGGGTGTAAGTAATCTCCCAATTGCATCTGAAATTCTAGCCGTCTGCGGCCTTTTTGACTTAAATCTGTTCCTTCACCAAGCCAAGCAAATACCCAAGCAGAATTCTTGAAGATGTCGCCCATCACAGCGACTTGCGCATTACGCTCTTGTGTGTCGGATTGGTTGATACACACTGCATCAATCCAGAAAGGCCGAACTCTCCTGGATTTCCGTAGTCTTCTTAGAGCTGAAGCGCAGTTCGGCGTGATGAGTACCGTCTGGCCGTCCACTAACAGTGGTATAGATGGCGTTTCGTCATTCCATGTATATGACAATGCATTGTATGGCGCAGCTTTGTTGAGATCCGTCTCGGAGAAATGGCCTATGAGAGGAGCATCTTTCGCTTTTGCGGGTTGTAGATGAAGAATGCGGATGGTCTGCGGTGTACGTAGCGGCTTGTAGACGTACGTAGTTGCCATAGCGGCACTGAGGTATCACCGAACAGATGGAGTGCAAATTACGGGTGCGATGCTATGGCCTGAAGGGCCGATCATTTGAAAATGCCATTGGCAAGAGTGTCGAGGCATTTGGCAATGCTGCGGCTGAATGAAAAGTCTAGGAAACTGCACGTTCTGCAGACAAGGCTGTGTCGAGAGGCGATTGGCGGGTCGCTTGCTGTTGTTGGGGGTTAAACAGATGGCCGCATCCTCGGCCGCCGAAAGGCAGACATTATGTCGTGAGTTCAAGAACCGGACACGGCACCCCTAAAGGCTCGCCGCGAAGCGGTCTCTCGGCGGGGCCGTCCGGTCGCAGGTCGCCGGGCCATGTCTTCATGAGCAAACGTATCCTCACGAATCTCCGTGCACGTCCAGTCTGGTAGATACTGGTGTGTCCAAGATCTTGACATCTCGTCGCCTCAAGGCACCAGTGCAACAGTTTTAATTGATTCTCTGCATCGGTCAATGCGATTGCGAGCAAAACACCACGGTTAGGTCCGCGTAAGCCCGAAGGAGTATAACCCGCGGAATCTACACCTCCGCCAGGGTA